TGACATTTTTGGTGCTACATTAGCATTATTAGCACCGGTTAGCATAAGATAGCTAATGCTATGTCTGTTAAAATGTGGCTGTTTTGTGTTGCAATAAATGTCACTAGATACATTATTGTTAGCAATAATAATACATTTTTTTACACATAATTGTGCTGTGGTACTAATAATTACATGTGAATAATTCTATAGTTAAGTATTTTTGTAGAGTGAATTCTGGTAACGCATTTGTTATTGTCACAAAATCATTTTCTCAGCCCCCTCAATCTGTGTTGTTGTTGTTATGGAGGGAAATGAAACACTTTCTATTCAGAAACTGAACAAAATCTTTTTAAAAAATCTGTTTCTAAATGTTTTGGCCTAATTTTTCTCTGTTCTCTCCAATCTTTCTACTTTCAGATGTTTTGTGCAGATTTTCTTTTATTTTTTATTGTCAGGCGTCTGTATTTCAAGACAGGAAAAGAGAAGTTTTATTGCATTTTTTTTTCAAAGAAGAAAGGAAATCTTTGGCGATAAATCAAACGAGGGACTCGTCCTATAATTTGGCCAAACTTTATCCGGGGAAAACCCTTACAGTACATCGAATGGAACAATAGAATATTTCACCTCAAAGAACAACTCGTTTCCAGAGCAACAAGACAACAGCGTGACAGAAGAGACGGACACCTAGCAAGGAAGAACAAAAGAAGAAAGACAGAGAGGTGTAGAATGTTGTAGTTTACATTACATAAATAATCACATATTTATGAATTGGAAGGCAAAGTCAGCAAAATGTTGGGCTAAAAACAAATAAAAGTGTAAAGTCAACATTAAATTTAGAAAAAGATTAAATCATTTTCTGATACAAAAGAGAAACCAAAACTGTAAAACTATCCTTTTGTTGTTCACTTTTTACTCAACCCACTTGAAAACAGAAACTTCACATTTTCACATTAGTTTCCCCTGGTTGGCTTGAAGAGACCATTTAACTTAGAAGGATGCTAAACCCCCATTTACTGTGTGTGCGTGAGCCTGTACTACACACCAGTTATTAATTCAGACAGGCAACCCCTCCTTCCTTTCCATTTTGGCCTTGCATTATAGCCCAGACCTAACTCAAACCACTTTTGCACAGTGGAGCTTTTATTCCTACGCTTATTCCAAACAGTTTTTCCTCTCATCCTGTCTGCAAACCCAACTTTTGTTTTAATAGGAGGAAAAATTGATTTATGACTGCACAAACCATTTATTTACGGGAGCTATTCTATTTTGTTGACATTTTATGAGAGGGGTGCAGAAAGAAAACGTCTTGGCTCCACTAACACTGAACTTCGAGTTCCCCTAGATTCCCCTTAGGGGACAATAAAGTATATTTTGATTCAATGTCATCCGAGTGTGTAAATTAACTAATAAGTGTGTGATTTCCACTATATTGCTTAGCTATACAACACAAGAGCTGTAATTTCCCACTTTAATG